AGGACAAGATCAACTAAGAAATCAGCTCAACAAACACAAAATGCCTCAATCTGTGAAACAAAACACAGGACAAGAACAACTGAGAAATTAGCTTAACAAAAACGAAATGCCTCAATCTGTGAAACAAAACACAGGACAAGAACAACTGAGAAATTAGCTCAACAAACATGAAATGCCTCAATCTGTGAAACAAAACACAGGACAAGAACAACTGAGAAATCATCTCAAGAAACATGAAATGCCTCAATCTGTGAAACAAAACACAGGACAAGAACAACTGAGAAATTAGCTCAACAAACATGAAATGCCTCAATCTGTGAAACAAAACACAGGACAAGAACAACTGAGAAATTAGCTTAACAAAAACGAAATGCCTCAATCTGTGAAACAAAACACAGGACAAGAACAACTGAAATCATCTCAAGAAACATGAAATGCCTCAATCTGTGAAACAAAACACAGGACAAGAACAACTGAGATCATCTCAAGAAACATGAAATGCCTCAATCTGTGAAACAAAACACAGGACAAGAACAACTGAGAAATTAGCTCAACAAACATGAAATGCCTCAATCTGTGAAACAAAACACAGGACAAGAACAACTGAGAAATTAGCTCAACAAACACAAAATGCCTCAATCTGTGAAACAAAACACAGGACAAGAACAGCAATTGAGAAATGATCTCAAGAAACATGAACTGCCTCATACATGTGTAAAATTTTATCGACTCCACCAACACTGAAGTCACGTTAATACATAAACAGGTTGAATAAACATTTGCTGCCATTGTACAAGAAGATTTATGTAGTTTCACATGTTCACATACGTGGAGCACATACATTTATATGTTTCCCTGTGTGGGTTCTAGGGCCCCATTGTGGGGGGAAAACCAGAATAGACCCATTGCACCCCCAACGAGCGTAAGGGTCGGCTAACTTGGGGCTTCCTTCGAAGTCAGAGGGCATCTGCCTGAGGGGCAAGGAACCAACAATGTGGACACAATCAAGTCAGATCTGTTAACTACTAACTTCAGAGCTGAGGCAACTGCCCTCCTCTCTGCAGTCCAACATCTCATCACTCAAGAACACAGAGGGCATCTGCCTGAGGGGCAAGGAACCAACGATGTGGACACAATCAAGTCAAATCTGTTAACTACTAACTTCAGAGCTGAGGCAACTGCCCTCCTCTCTGCAGTCCAACATCTCATCATTCAAGGACACAGAGGGCACCAAATTGTTATACTTAGCGACTCATTGTCTGTTCTCCAAGCACTATCCAGCAAAAAACAAGACAAAACTAATTGCCGATCTAACGACCAACATTGGCTTACTCTCCAAGGAAGCAGAACTGGTCTTGCAGTGGATACCAGCCCACTGTGGTATTCAAGGAAATGAGAGAGCAGATGAGTTGGCAAAAGCTGGGAGTAATCTTCCACAACCTCATCGACCACACAGCTACAAGGAAACCAAAACAGCGCTAACGCAGTCTTTCAATCGGGAGTGGAGAAAGCATAATAGAGATTACAGACCAGAGAGTGACAGCATAAACAAACTTAACAGGAAAGAACAAACATCAATTTTTAGACTTCGGACTGGACACTGTGGTCTTCGAGCACACATGTACAGGATAGGCATAAAACAATCTGCTTCCTGTGATTGTGGAGCAGAAAGACAAACCCCTGAGCATATACTGCAGTACTGCCCTAAACTCTCCCAGCAAAGACTGTGGATCTGGCCCAGGGGAGCCACATTGCAAGAGAAGCTATGGGGGACCAGTGGCGACCTTAAACGCACAATCCTATTTGTGACCCAGACGGGACTCAATGTTTAGCATGACTGATATCGAACGCAGAAGAAGAAGAAGAAGAAGAAGAAGAAGAAGAAGAAGAAGAAGCAGCAGCAGCAGCAGCAGCAGCAGCAGCAGCAGCAGCTGCAGAAGAAGAAGAAGAAGAAGAAGAAGAAGAAGAAGAAGAAGAAGAAGAAGAAGAAGAAGAAGAAGAAGAAGAAGAAGAAGAAGATCTGTTAACTGGATGTGCAAGCAACACTCAGGTTCTGAAACAAGATCAAAGTCCAGATGTGGACAAACAACCAGAACTTTCCGCCAGAGTTTACGCAAAGATGCAGTGATCTGCAAAAGATCACTCCTAGAAGAGTTGTCTTCATCACTGATCTGAATTTCAGCAAAGCACAGATCACTCCAAGTGACAAGAAGGGACGAAGTCCGCAATCAGACAATATGTCAAGATCTTGATACCCAGTCCTTACAAACCCGAGTGGATCAGTCACAGTTACGTGGGTTTGGACATGTATGCAGAATGGGAGAAAATCGGCCACCATGGCAGGTCATACAGACCTCCAGACGACCCAGGGTTTGGGAAGACAACATCCGATAGTCCCTAACTGACAGAGGACTCAAACATGCTGATAGTGTGTTCTCTGGGTATTTAAGTATTTTATTTTTTTTGTAAGTTTTGCTTGGACGTAAAACTTATTCAGCCTCCTCGATTCAATTTCCAAAAGTTGACGGTGCACAATATCTTCCATATTTTTTTCTTAACTTTGTCCCAGAAAGTTAGACATCCAGTCCAATTCTTCAATATATCGCAAATGTATTCCCTCCTTTTTTATTATTTTATAAAAATTTTACAGTCAAAACTGTGACTGGAACTAGACGTGCATGGTTGTCGAGGAGAATGCTTCAATACATTCTAGATCAGGCCTGATCCTTTTATCATTTGTATTCCTTGTGAAAATAATCTTTGCAATGTTTATTCCATTTGGGATAGCTAATTCCTTAATTAGGTCACGACAGGTAGACGACTCTAGAATTGCCACATGTCATTTGTCGACACGTCAGCCACAACAAACTAGCATCATAACACATGAATGTTGAATTAATTAATCGGCATCATAGCACTCGGTACACTCCCATAAGTGCTCCGTCCGCATCTTCAGCAGCAAACAAAGAGTTCCAATTCTGATTGTACCAGTAACTGTCTGACTGTATGTCTGTCTGGCCTTTCCCTAGAGTGTTCAACTTCAACTAGATCCCCCCCGGTATAACTACCCACAGTGACATTTTCTTTAGACCACAATGATCTATTTGTGCCTCCGCACTGTTTACTTGTTTCCAAAGGGTAAGTAGTAAAAGTAAAGATCCATTTTCCCGCTTTTAGGTGCATCGGGCATTTGGGAAGAGCACACATATTTTTTACAGACCAATCGGCACTAGGTGGGTAATGTGGTCAGCATTACGCCGGCCGTCTTTACTTCCCCAGGACAGGCATCCTGGTACCCATTTTAGGCTGGGTCGACCTGTGACGCCCCATACCATGATAAAAATCCACACAGCCAGCAGTGGGTTTAGATCACGGTACGTTGGAATTACAAGTTGGACTCGCAAAGCCTAAGCGCTCCCAAGGGCCCTCACAATGTCTAGCTTGTTATACATCAGTTCACCATCAAGTGTTACAGAACTGGCCAGTCTATCTGCCTGCTAATTTCCCAACACACCAGCATGATCTGGAGAAAATATCCAGAGGATGCTAACTATCCGGACCTCTGAAATGATGCCTGCCGATCTGCACGGAACATGCCTGTTTCCACCTTTCTCAACATGCTGTGAGACAGTTACAATCAAGGCATGGGTGTAGAGCTGATTCTCAAGCCAGCAGAAGACAGCAGTGGCTGCCTCCACTCTCAAACTAGAAGTGATACCATAAGCCTGGCTTTGCTGCACTAAGCGACATCCACTCTCTTTTGCTATGAACCACCATGAACTTCATCTGCCCCCTCAACACAGAGCCATCTGTATAGAAAATCACATCACGTGGTCGGGAACTGTCATGGATCCTTTGTTGAACTTCTGATTCTGTGGCACCAACTGGCCAGTCCCTGCACTCATGACCCAAAGTGATAAGAACCCTACATAAGTCCTAAACAGTTCTTTATTAATATCCTACCCCAGATGACGTCACAGAACAGTCCAACATTTCAGAGGTTGACAAAACTGGGTTTCCTGGCTTTCTGATGATTTTAACGACCCCAAAACATCTAAAACTGGCCTAACCCCAACCCACCTGCGTCCCACGAGAGAGATGCAACCTAGGTCCCACGACTGCATGCAGCCTATCTACCACCCCCCTGAAGTATTAGACTGTCCCGTGACCTGTGGATTTCCCCTGTTTAGGGTGGGATATTAATAAAGCGCTTCCATAACTTGCTCAGACACTTTGACCCTCTCCTCTCTTTGTCCAAGTACATCAAGCCTGCACACATGTCCAGTTGTGTCTTCAGCTTGAGCCAAAGTGACCGGTAAGGTCATACAGGGTAGGAGGGAAATCAATCAGTATTTTGTCACAACTATCAGTGTATTATAGGACATCTGCTCTTTGTATATCATGTGACATCGTCTGTGACATCTTTCTGTGTTTCAGGTGACACCCAATAAAAAATGGTATTCTGTAGACACAGGAAGCCACTTCTGCTAGACTTCAAAGAGAATATAATCATGCCATGTGACATTTGTAGCCAATGAAATGTCAACTGTGGTTATTTTGTGTGAAGGTTATTGCTGGGAACAGCCGATGTGTCATACGATATAATGGTGTAAAGAGACAGCACTGAGTAAAGGACCAATCCCCTCAGCACAGGTGTGGATGGAACTAGTTTCATGTCTCCAGTTTTGTCCGAGGACCAATCCCTTCAGCACAGGTGTGGATGAAACTAGTTTCATGTCTTCAGTTTTCTCAGAGGACCAATCCCCTCGACACAGGTGTGGATGGAACTAGTTTCATGTCTCCAGTTTTGTCCGAGGACCAATCCCTTCAGCACAGGTGTGGATGGAACTAGTTTCATTCTTCTGTTTTGTCTGACAACCAATCCCCTCAGCACAGGTGTGGATGGAACTAGTTTCTTCTGTTTTGTCCAAGGACCAATTCCCACAGCACAGGCGTGGATTGGAACTAGTTTCATGTCTTCAGTTTTGTCGGAGACCAGACTACTTCCTCAGATCAAGAACCACCACCTGAAAGATACAAGAAGTGACATCATTAGAGATGAACAAACCATCACTATACAGCAAACAACTGCAAAGATGTACAAATGTTCTTGAAATGTCTACAAATGTATGAAGGCAGACCATCCAACATAGCATTGGCTCAACAGTTTCCTGGTGTCCTAAAGAGAGACAACTCCGTGTGTGGTGCCACAACTCTCATTCTGAGCAAAGCGGATTTATGCTATTGTATTTATGCTATGCACAATTTCCATGTATGAAATGTTTTTTTTGCAAAAAACACACACAATACAAACAAACGGTATCATTTGTTAAAAAATACACGCACACAAATACCCACAAAGCAAAGCAGGCAAACACTACACTGAACACACACGATTTAGAAAAAAAAAAAAAAAAAAAAGCCAAAAGACTGAAATGGAGCCAAAAAACAGAATAAGGCCTTTAAAAAAAATCTGGCACAGCTAACGCAAATACAAATGTATATTGTGAAAAAATAAAAGCACCAAAAGAATTTAAATGTGGGGCCCTGAAAAGGGCCGTATGAAGGGCGCAAAGTGGAAAGCTCTTTTGCTTCGGTGAGGTGAACCGGGAGACAGCCTCGGTACAATAACTGACAGCGTAACTGACAACCAACAAAAACAACAGAACTAGCACAATAACTGGTGGCATCCATGCACCAACCAAGGACGGCCAGGCGGACCAACACACCACAAAAGGATAGAAACGAAAACCGCTCACAAAAAAACGGACTCAAATATAAAGAAGGCCCTCAGGTCATTTTGAAGAGTCCCAGTTTTTTATTTTTTTTTTTGTCCATATCAAGTCAAGTCAAGGTAAATAACTTCAAAATCACTGCTTCAACATAATTTTTTTAAAAATAACTCCAGTCTTCCAGAGGACTCACATACAAACAAAAAGAAGTCAGTATTGCTTCTAATGTCCAGGTCACATAGCTACAAAAAAAACAAACCCCAGGCTCCAAGTGAATCAAGCAAGATAAATAGCACAGAAAAACTTACAGAGCCATCTGAAGCACTGGCTCCCACTTTGTCGCCTCGGTGATTCCAGCAGACTTCAAAAATACCGCCAGTTCCTCGATAACTGTGCACCAGTGAGCCAGTCTGCAAGTAAGTGGAAGATTGGAGTTTAACATGTTACAGTCACAATAGAAATGCTGAATATTATTACAATACCAGGGGGCTGCGCAGTCTCCAAACTGTTCGCCTCCAGTGCTGAGATTTTTTTCACGAGGACTTCTAGTAATTTCCCTGGTCTCTGGGTAGTAAGATTGGATGCCTGTGTAGTTGGAAATCAAAAATAGTAGCCTAACGCCACTGGCCAGGCACACACAAAATTTGGAGTTAAAAATATACCTAAAATATTTCAGGTTCCTTGCCGGTGCTATGGAGTTCATGCACTAAGTTGAGATTCTTCAGACTCAGACTTGAGTTAGAAGTAGAACAAAACACTTATGGGTTACTACACTTGTGCCATAATCTCGATCCAGTGTTTCCCAAACTTGTCTTAGTCACGACACCTTTTTTTAAATTAAAAAATTTTCGAGGTGCCCGAACCTACGTAAAAGCATGTCAGTTTTTTTTTTAAAAAAATGAGGTATCTTTGAATATTTTGCAGCACCCCTGTGAAGAGGTCACGGCTCCCTGGGGCACACAGTTTGGGAATCCCTGCCTTAAACCTTAAATCATAATACCAGCGTGCTGAGTTTTAGAAAGAAGCTTGGATAAACTCTTGTATTTCACCCGATGTCTTTATTTTTCATTTCTCATGATCACTTCCTTGATTTACACCAGCAAGAAAGTTTTTTATTTGGATTTAAAAAAAAAAGACAATTTCTTTAGAGTTTCTCTTTAGTTCCATACAGCTGAATGCTGAATTTTGAATTAAATCGACATCACAACACTCGGGACACTCCTGTAAGTGCTTAGTCCCCATCTTCAGCAGCAAGCGAAGAGTTCCAATTCCGATGGTACCAGTAACTGTCTGACTGTATAACCGTCTCATCCTTCCCCTGAGTGTTGAGCGTTGGCCAGATCCCCTGGTAACTCCTCGCAGCGCCATTCTCCTTGGACCGTACAGCTCTGAGCATATTGTTGACAGACTGGGTCAGTGATTTCTTTTTAATGAGCTGCACAAGGGACAGCCTTGAAGGAAAATCTGCTGTCTTGTTTTTGAACACAAACTGTCTTCTATTTCGTGAACTGTCTTGTTTTGGAAGTGTTAAATATAACACAAAAAGTGACTAGAAAGCCCAACAGAGGGAATTTAAGATATACACACAATTACAACAAAAGATTTTGACCAAAGTCTTTATTAGCGGAGTACTAAATAAATGCAAAAACTGGACTGGAAAACTCATAGGAGATGAAAAAAAAACAACCAAAGTCAACAACTTGTTTATCTTGTTTTGGATCAACTGTTCTGTATTTCACCTATCGTCTTGGTTAAACCCTGCTCTTTACCATTCTCATCAACTGTTTTGGCTTGAATAAAATGTCTTGTTCTTCAACCAAATGTCCTTTCAATCTATAATGCCAACTGTCATACACTGCCACCATGATCCACTATCTCACTTTTGACTCACTGTTTGACCTGTTATCCCCACGCAACCTCTGACATACTTCTCATTGCAACCTCTGACCTACTTGACTTCTTTCACCTTCTGCCAACCAGCATCATCAAGTGTTGATAGTAAACCTAAGAATATATATTTTGTGTACATCTGTACATGTTACTATCTTTAGACTCAGATCAGTACATAAGAGACTCAGCAATGTTTTTAATTATATATAACAAGCATATTTATTCACTGCTAAATTGTATTTAAACCATCCAGTATGAAAAAGAGAATACGTTACCTGAACGTTCCATATGTGCACACATTTATCGAAGGAACCGCTAGCTATATATTTCCCATCAGGACTGAAGGCTACGCTGTAGACTGGCTCCGTGTGTTTGGTGAGCGTGTGCAGACATCTGCCCTGCTCGACTTCCCAGAGTCGAACTGTTGAGTCAAATGAGGCACTAGAGGAAAACAGAAAACTGAGATGATCAGATTCATCCTTGGGTGGATTCTAAGGCTCCTCTGGGAATGAGGGGTTGGGGAGAATAGGCCCACTGCCCCTCCCTTAACAAGCATGTCCTAAAAGGCAACTAATTAAGGGTGTGCTGAAATCAGATGTACTAGACCAAAAAGCCTAGATATAAGCCATAACACGTCAACCAACCTTTAAAGAGTGGTCGTTGAAGAGGAGGCAGACAAAGAAGAAGAAGTAGAAAAAAAATTAGACGATGATGAAGAAGGAGGAGGAGGGACAAGAAGAAGAGAAGGATGAAGAGGAAGGGGAAGAGGAAGAAGAGGAGGAGGAAGAAGAAGAAGCTATTGAAAAGAAAGGGGAAGAAGAGGGGAAAGAGGAGGAAGAAAAAGATAAAAAGGAAACACTGAAACAAACATTTTAAAAAAACTATTAACCAGCGTACATTTTAGAGTAAATAAATGACAAGACAATGCACATATACCAGATTATGGTATGACAAGACAATGCTATGTCACATACACCAGATTATGGTATGACAAGACAATGCTATGTCACATACACCAGATTATGGTATGACAAGACAATGCTATGTCACATACACCAGATTATGGTATGACAAGACAATGCTATGTCACATACACCAGATTATGGTATGACAAGACAATGCTATGTCACATACACCAGATTATGGTATGACAAGACAATGCTATGTCACCACATACACCAGATTATGGTATGAGGAGGCAGGATCACTTCTCTTTCTCACCCTTTTCTGTCCCAGCCAATCAGGACAACTGTTCGATGACCATGTTACTGAGGCTGGGGTCAGAGAGTTATAAACAATGTTGCCACTTCTGGAAAAGGAACCTTTGCCATGGGCCCAGTAAGCATAACATGATCAAAAGTACAGGTTGAAGGCTTATGTCTTCTACAAGAGGCTTCACGGGAAACATTAAAAGTGCGAAACAATTTACAGTAACCATCCCATTCTCTTGTAACCTGTCAATACTGTTGTTAAGGATGTCAAGAATGTTAAGCATGTCACAGACAAACAGGGTTACCTGATAATGACAGTTTAAACATGGCTGCCCGACTTTTGACATGCACCAAAGAGGAGCAGCATTCTGTTACCTGGCTGTTTTTTTTTTTTTTTTTAATTAATGAAGGGGTGAAACCTACAGTAATATATTGGTGAATGAAGATTCAATATGGTCATACTTGCATATCAGTCCAGCAAGTGTAAGACAGGAGTAGGACATTCCAAAATGACGTGACTTCTGTGAGAGAATGTTCATGACTGGGTAAAGCATGCAAAAGTCACACCATTTTGAAACTTTCTACTCGTACAAAGTCTACAAAGGATTTGATGTGAGTTAACTGAGGGCTATTGCTCTTCTTCATCTTTTCTCTACTCCTTTAATGACATCAGGACAGGAAGAGATCTCTGGAACGGACCCTTCTGTTCGCTTTGTATATTACAGTTTCTGATATTTCTGCGGTCCATCTCATGCATGGTGGAACTCTGATTTTGTTACTGCTGTATCTGTGTAACATTGCTCTGTGGTGCAATGTCTGATGCCAATCTTGTTACATGGCCAAACCATTTGAATTTTTGCTTACTTATATAGTTCAGTATTGGTTCTGTTCGACTCTCCTCCTAATATCATCGTTCCTGAGTCGATCTTTCCTCATTACACCTAGCGCAGTTTGTAAACATTTGATTTCTGATGTGACTATTTTCCTTCTGTCTTCTGAAGAGTCTCCAACAAGGCTACGGTTCTCTGTGAGATAAAAGGGGAATTTTTAAAAAAATTAAAGAAAACCAAATATACAAAATCCAACCTGGCCAATATCAAATTCTGATTGGGATTGCTTGTGCCAGGACCCGTGGGACTCCACTTGATGGTGTAGATTTCTTTATTATGTGCTTGAAGATCGTGTACCCACTGATCACTTTTCATGCTCCAGATCTGTGGAGGCAGAACGGTGGGGCAATTAACGCAGTACCTTCATTGTAGTGTTCCCCACGTGTAAACTCTGGCAGAAAATTGTGGCTGGTCGTCCACTCCTGGACTTTGGTCTTGTGTTTCGGTGTGCACATCAGTTTTACATATCTGGCTTATTTGTATGTAGACAGCTGATTCTTTGCCTCTTAGGCAGATGCACACTGACTTTGAAGAAAACACTCCTAATAGGTCACCCTGTACGACCTGCTTGTTTGGGGAGGGATGGAGGGGGTCAGTGTGTCTATTTCTTTCCCCCCAAAATGGAGCCCTGGAACTCACACAGAAAAAAAATAGGATATTAACTAGTGCTGTCAAAATGTGCAGAGAATGAGTGGACGATAAGTACTGCATGTAAAAAAAAAATAGTAAAAGTCCCTTTTCAATGCCTTTAGGGCATATAGGGCTAGACATATATTTTTATAGACCACTCGGCACAAGATGGGTGATGTGGTCAGCATCATGCCGGCCACCTTTACTTCCCGTTATTTCCTGTATGTGTTCTAGGGCCCTATTGTAGGGAAAACAAGAATAGACCCACTGTCTACCCAAAAGCATATCGTAAGAGTCGACTAATTGGGAGCTTCTTTCGAAGTCGGAGTGCATCTGCCTGAGAGGCAAAGAACCAGCAATCTGTACACACATGAGTCAGATCTGTAAAACGGATGCACACGCAACACTCAGGTTCTGGAACAGGACTGCAGTCCAAAAGTGAGTGAACAACCAGAACTTTCTGCCAAAGTTTACAGCTGTTGAACGTGAAGAAGAAGAACTTCCCAGGACTGCACCCAGTACCCACTCAAGGCTCTTCCAACCTGGGAGTCAATGTCATGTTTTTAAAAAAAGTTCGGCTCCGCCAGGGAGTGAACCCATGACAATACTGTATGAGCTAAGATGATCAGATCTGTGGAGAGACACTGGCTGGACATTAAGATGTGTCATCAATGGTCAGTGTATAAGACTGACCACATATCAGACAAATTTCCACCTCTAGAAGGCATTGTGTTATAGAATTGCTATGCGGCTTCTATTAAAAAATATTATACAATTTAACAAAAAAAGGGGGAGCCAAAACAATCTCCGCTACTGCTAAACATAATCTCCATCGTTGCCGGTCCCAAGCAGGGATAAGAAAGGAAGATGGTTGGGCATGGAGAAAATTCCCCACCCTGCAAAAACAAAACATTTTTTTCTACAAAAACCTACAGGTAATGAAAAAGAGGAAATGAGAATGTCAAAATGAAACCCTCAGTTGAACGTTGATGAGAGAGGCCAAAGGTGAGCACCTGGATTCCATTCATGATATTGAAGTGACTGAAAAGGATAGAAAGAAATGGAGAAATAGACTGAGAGCCCTATGTAATATGAGAGCCCTATGTAATATGAGAGCCCTATGTAATATGAGAGCCCTATGTAATATGAGAGCCCTATGTAATATGAGAGCCCTATGTAATATGAGAGCCCTATGTAATATGAGAGCCCTATGTAATATGAGAGCACTATGTAATATGAGAGCCCCATGTAGTATGAGAGCCCCATGTAGTATGAGAGCCCTATGTAGTATGAGAGCCCTATGTAATATGAGAGCCCTATGTAGTATGAGAGCCCTATGTAATATGAGAGCCTATGTAATATGAGAGCCCTATGTAATATGAGAGCCCTATGTAATATGAGAGCACTAAGTAGCATATAATGGCAAACAGGACAAAGAGTGAATGAAGAATACAATACATATAGACTGTCACACATAAAGAGCTGTCAGTCGCAATGGGCAAGTTGTTTGGAACATGCAGTTCAGTAAGTAGAGCTTGTGCTCTCAAGATTTCACTTTGGATCACATACATGTTTCAAGCAAAGTGTTCAGACAGGAGCTGGGTTTACCTTGAGGGTCATGTCATCGGAGCAAGAGGCCAACAGCTGTCCTTGGGGATCCCACTTGATTGCGTTGACCTCATTCTGTTGATTATACAGTCAATTTTCAGAAATAAGAGGAAGAAAACCAGACACCTCATACTGATACAAGTCAACAACATTCACAGATCAGTCCAGCAGATATGACTTATTTCCCTCCTCCTGCCTTTGACATCATGAACCATGTATACATACTTCAAACTGACAACACTGCAAGCAAATACTTACTTACTTAGTCAATACTCTTTTAGCTTGGGGTGCAGAGGTTTGCCACAAAGATCGCCATTCTCTGTTTGCAGTTTTCTTTTTGGTTTTGTTCCATTCCAGTCCTTTGTGAGTCATGGACTGTTGGATGTTGTCTTCCCAGCGTACCTTGGGTCATCCAGAAGGTCTGGTTGCCTGGTTCTTAGCTTCCCATCCTTGCCATTGTGGTCAAATTTCTCCCATTCTACATAAATGTCAAAACCATCATAACTGTGACTGATCCATTCGAGTTTGCCAGGTCTGGGTTTCAAACTGCGTACAAAATGATACCCTGTCCACCCTTTGGACGTCAGTGGGCTGTGTGCTAGTTTCATGAAACATCATGCAAAATGTCTGCCACCCATCCACATTTTACACCACAAACACGTGTTCTGTTACCTTTTCCACTCATCGTCCCTTTTGAGAAGAATGCAGATAATATCAAGGAGTGATAACGAAACAAAAGAAGTGTTATGCGGTTATGAGACAGAAGAGACGAAAACCTGACAGCAATTGGCAAGACTGATGGAAAGAGAGCCAAAGGAAAGTAAAGTGCTAAATATCTGGATGGCTTGGCCACACAGATGGGGTGAGACAAGAACACTGACTTGAATCCATGATTCTGGTGATTGTGGGAAATGGTGAAACATGACAGCCTATGTTTACCAGGTCGGCACATGATGATGATTTCTTTGACTGCCATATCTTTTTCCAGGCATCTTTAAAGAAGTTAGTCTGCCTATGTTTTACTTTTCGGCAGTGACAACACTGGTATTCACACAAACAGTTTCTGAACACAGCGCACAAACCCTGGTCTACTAGTAAGAATACAATCGTGTAAATACCAGAACTACTCATGCTGTAAACACCCTCTGTGGGTAGACTTTTGCTCAGAGTACAGTGTTTAAAGATTAGGAGAAGGAATGACGTAAATAAGGGGGTGACTGCAGTCGAGCTGATTGTAAGAAATGCTAAAAACATAAATGGGGGGGGGGGGGGGGGGGGGGGTGTGTGACTTCAGTCTAAGTGACTGTAAGAAATACTAAAAACATAAATGGTGTGGGGGGTGACTTCAGTCGAATTGATTGTAAGAAATACTAAAAACATAAATAGGGGGGTGACTTCAGTCGAACTGATTGTAAGAAATACTAAAAAATTTAATGGGGATGACTTCAGTCGAATTGTTTGTAAGAAATAATAAAAACATAAATAGGGAGTAAATAGGGCACTTCTTATTTTCATGCTGACCTTGGTTTGTTAATTTTTTTTTATGAGCTCTCTTATCTTGTCCATTCAGTTTTCCAGTCACAGTTTGTGCTGTATTTAGTATTATGTTGATAAAGACTTTGATCAAAATGTTCGGTTGTGTTTGTGTGCATCTTTCCCCTTCCCTCCATTGAGTAAGCTTTCTAGTCAAATTCTGTGTTATATTTATTAAAAGAAGGAAACCTACGGTATGTCCCTGGAATGTTTTGACTGGCCGGAGGTCACCAAGACGACACACATGTATGCACTGGTCTGTGGAACAAGAGGCGAATGTGTTGTTGCTCTGCCAGTCCACGTCTAACGCTGGTGCTGTTGATGATAAAATATAAACAGTGGAAACACAGGACAGCAGTGCTGCAGCAAATGCATTGATACAACCAAACTTTAAACTTCTTCTTCTTCTCTTCCACCTTGTACCTCATCGAAGTGTCGGGGGGAGATGTAATGTTCGTTGATGAGCTTTGTCAAGAGCACTATTAAGACTGATGTTCTGTAAGGCTGTTCTTAATGCCATCACTCCATCTTTTTCTAGGTCTTCCACTCGCTCTATACCCGTTGTAACGTTTCAGTGTGGCTCGCTGTGGTAGTGCCAGGGTATTCTTGTTTTTAACTACAAAGTAATAAAAATAATTTAACTCTGACATTTAATGTCTAATTCTAGTGAAGATTCAAAGACAACAGCTCACAGAA